CAAGAGATCGAGACCATCCAGGTCAACATGGTGAAACCCCGTCTCTACTAAAAATACAAAAAATTAGCTGGGCATGGTGGCGTGTGCCTGTAATCCCAGCTACGCAGGAGAATTGCCTGAACCCAGGAGGCGGAGGTTGCGGTGAGGCGAGATCACGCCATTGCACTCCAGCCTGGGTAACAAGAGCGAAGCTCCATCTCAAAAAAAAAAAAAAAAATCCATTTTAAATGAGCAACGTCACCCTCTTCTCACAAGGACAACAGAACATGTCTGTGGTAGGCATGGCATGCTGGGAACTTTTACTCTGGGGTAGTGGCCTCTATTTTGTGAGTCTGGATCCTATTTTCACATCAGATGGAGACAGATGGTGCAGGTGAAACATCTGCCTGTGTTCTGAATGCAGGATAACATCACGGTTAATGAGTATGTTTAAGGGAAATGTTTTGTGCTGGGAAAAGTTTGTTTCCTGAACTCTGTTAGATCCATGGAATTGCCCTGCAAAAGGAGCTGAGCAACCCCACAGCTGTTTACCCATCTGTATGATTTGATGAGAAAGGTTCATGTCTGTAAGTGTGGCTGTGAATATTTGTCTCCTTTACTTCAAACTGTCTTAACTCCCATTTATCTTTCCCTTTGAAAACCAAGCCACTGCGGCCAGCCTGGCTTTCCTGTGAGTGGCTGTGACAGGTCACTCTACCTGAGTGGATGAACTTCTCCAGCTCCTTTTCATTCTCTGGAAGTAGGTGCATAGACTCATCCTCGTTCTCTGAGTCCTCTTCTTTGTCTCCTAATAATGGTATCTTGATGTTCTTATAAAGTGACTCAAGCCGTTGTCTTTCCTCAGCCTGTGCCAGTTGACTGGAGAATGGTAAATTAATTTAGAAGCACAGTTTTCATGGTGAATAATTCATTTCTTAATCATGCCACATTTTGACTGGAAAGGAGTTGCTTGCGGGGTGGGTGCAGAAATAAGACTTTGAAACTGGACTAATCATGGTCAGATCTCAAATGTCTATATGGTCAGGCCATTTCCTGTAGTAAGGAGTAACTTTGATCATCCCAAAGCATGGATCAAAGCCAGGACTAGAAGTGAACAAGGCACTCAAATTGGGTTCAAAACTTAAGATGTTGACAAAAAATCCATAATCAAGACAAATCATCTCTCTTTCTTTCTTTGAGATGGAGTCTCACTCTTGTTGCCCAGGCTGGAGTGCTGTGGCATGATCTTGGCTCACTGTAGCCTCCGCCTCCCGGGTGCAAGCGATTCTTCTGCCTCAGGCTCCCAAGTAGCTGGGACTACAGGTGCATGCCACCACATCTGGCGAATTTTTGTATTTTTTTGTACAGACACGGTTTCACCATGTTGCTCAGGCTGATCTCAAATACCTGAGCTTAAGGGATCCACCCCCGCCTTGGCCTCCCAAAGTGTTGGGACTACGGGTGTGAGCCACTGCCTCTGGCCTATACAGTTACATAAATTAAGTCGATGTAGTGGAGATAACCCACAAGCAAGCACGCAGGTTACGCTCTCATTATCAAAATTTTTCCCGTTACCTTTAATCTCACTTTGCCTTCATGTGACCTATTCTAAGGTGGTCTTAACATAGCTACCCAAAAAAATATCCCACACATGGCAATATGTCTCCTGTTTTCATACTTAATTCTAATGAAGCCAGCAATCATGTACTTCTCAAGCTGTTTCTGGTGGGATAGAATGGAATCCTAGCATGGAATCATAAAGTAGGAGTCAGAGTCTGTTGGTTTGGTCAGAACAGCATGAGGTCACAGTATGTCACACCCTTTTCTACTGTGAATTTCAAAACGATTATATCACTTGAAAGAGCTTGACCTAAAGCTTTATTTGTGAAGACGGTGATGTATCTTCCCCCAAAGCTGCTATCACCCCAGACTGCACTGACACATTTCTAGTAAAACAGAGTGTGATCGCTCTTTTCTGCGGTGTACTGTTGAGATTCCTTCCAAAGTAGCAAGTTCATTTTATTTTCATTTATTTGAGACAGAGTTTTTGCTCGTCGCCCAGGCTGGAGTGCAATGGCACGATTTCTGTCCACTGTAACCTCCACCTTCTGGGTTCAAGCAATTCTCCTGTCTCAGCCTCCTGAGTAGCTGAGATTACAGGCGTCCGCCACCACAACCAGCTAATTTCTGTATTTTTAGTAGAGACGGGGTTTCACCACATTGGCCAGGCTGGTCTCAAACTCCTAACCTCAGGTCTCTCAGAGTACTGGTATTACAGACGTGAGCCACAGCACCTGGCCTCAAGTTCATTTTAAAATACCGAATTCTGGGGGAATGGTGGCTTACACCCATAATCCCAGCACTTTGGGAGGCCATGTTCGGGGGGGCTGGGAATGATGGCTTACATCCGTAATCACAGCATTTTGAGAGACCAAAGCGGGTGGATTACTTGAGGCCAGGAGCTCAAGGCCAGCCTGGCAACATGGCAAAACCCAGTCTCTAGTAAAATATAAAAAGTAAAATAAAATAAAATACTGAATTTTTGGGAGGATGTCAGCATCTCAAACTGTGTCTTTCAAACATTTTTGAACATGACTCCCAGTAAGAAGTATATTTCACAACCGTGTGTCTGTGTGTGTGCCTGTCTCACATGTGTGTTTGAAAAGTTTAAACATCAGCCTTTTATATTAATAATTTATGTTTTCTGATATTTTCTATTCTGCTGAATTGTATTCTGTCCTGTTTCTTTTTTTTTTTTTTTTAATGTGTATCACGACCCAACATGAGTACAATCCACATTTTGAAAAACACTAATTTGGAAATTTGTATTCACATAATAATTTAGCAATTATAAGAAATATCATCATCATCCTTTGACACTAAATAATCGTCAGTTGACTTGTTATGTCTTATTTAAGGATAGTAGATGTTATTAAGCAGATACTTACTATATCATACAGGATATTGCCATCCCACATATCAGGGCAATGCTGAAGGCTATACTCGAAATTAAAATTACTTTAACAAGAGCAGGTCTATGCTGAATTATTGCTAAAAAATGGAAAGAAAAGAAGTGCTCAAAAATTTTCATTTTAGCTGTCTTTCAGTTAACATACTTATCCTTACAGAGGGGGATAGAATTCAAAACCAGAAACACTTTTAAAAATAGCTTCTTTCTTTCTTTCTCTCTTTCTTTCTTTTTGACAGAGTCTTGCTCTGTCACCCAGGCTGGAGTGCAGTGCATGATCACAGCTCACTGCAACTTCTGCCTCCCGGGTTCAAGCTATTCTGCCTCAGCCTCCCAAGTAGCTGGCACCACAGGCATGTGCCACTATATCCGCCTGTTTTTTTGTGTGTTGTTGAAGAGATGGGGTTTCGCCATGTTGCTCAGACTAGCATTCTTAATTTTAGAAAATACTGAAGTTAGATCTCACAGCCTATGTGAACAAATATAGTTTTCATTCCCAACAATCCCTGACTCAAGTTTACCTCCCATCCTGGGTCTGCTCTGTAGAGACACTGGGTCCCTGACTCTGTATGACAACACCCGCTGTGTTGACAGCTGAAGGGGAAGTGGCTTTCATCTTATGATTCACCAAAACATCCATCAAATTACAATTCAAGTCAAACAAACACATATATGTAATCAGGATGGGATCAAGGGTTTTGTGTGTGCTAATTAAAGTGAAATGAAGGAGAAGAAAATGACAATCCCTAAAGAGAAAGCACAACCTAACAGAGAGTGAAAAGTGTAAGATCTAATTTCCAAGCAAATGTTTACCTAATTATACTATATTTTATGGATCTTTCTACCAGCAAGCACATAGTACACATTCACATAGCAGACAAAAGGACTCCAGGCTATGAATCTCACTTTACTGAATGAGAAATTCAATGACTCACCCATCGATCTGGAGGCAGCCCCTTGAATCCCAGATAACTGGGTGTTACGAAAGAACACTTTGGGGTCTTTGGTTATGTTTCTGGGTGGTTGTGACTGTTTATTGCCTTGAAAAGAAAACTTTTTGAGGTGAATTATAATTACTCTTTTTAAATTTCCCCTGAAACAGCTTTTCAGTTCTCCTGAGTCAAGTAAAACCAATAGTTGAAGCTACCTGGTAAGCCTGTTATGTTTCCAGCTGGATGGAGTCCATCTGCATACAGCAAGCCTAAATGAAGTGGGCATTCCATTAAAAACAAAAAGAAAAAGAGGAAACCACTCTGAACCTTGTCCATCACTCACAAATTGTCAGTATTCTATCCTATGGATGAAGGAAATACTTAGCTACAGTCCAGCATTTGCCCTATATTTATCTGCGGAACCAAGAAGTTCTCTTCCCTTCAGAATGTTTGGGCAGTGACCTGGAGCCACCAGTGTGAGGTCAGTCCTTGCTGTGGAAATGGAGTTCCTTCACGGAACTAAGCTGACCAATGGGGAGACTTTGGTGTAAGTGGGCAGTGCTTGCAGATGCAGGCATGGATGAGACCAGGTCCCTGCCTACAGTGTGTAGATTAGTGAGGAGGCAGAAAGAACTCAATTACAATCAGCCCTCTGCATGCATAGGTCCCCATCGGTGATTTCCACCAACATCACTTGGAAGATGGTCAAGAAAAAAGGGCCAAGAACGATGGTGCACACCTGTAATCCCAACACTTTAGGAGGTCAAGATGGGAAGACTACTTGAGGCCAGGAGTTCAAGACGGCCTGGCCAACATAGCAAAAGTCCATCTCTACTAAAAATACAAAAATTAGCTGGGCATGGTGGTGCATACCTGTAGTTCCACCTACTTGGGAGTCTGAGGCATGAGAATCACTTGAACCCAAGAGGTGGAGGTTGCTGTAAGCTGAGATTGCACCACTGCACTCCAGCCTGGTGACACAGTGAGAATCTGTCTTAAAAAAAAAAAAAAGGCCAGGTGCAGTGGCTCACACCTATAATTCCAGCACTTTGGGAGGCCAAGGCGGGTGAATCACTTGAGGTAAGGATTTTGAGACCAGCCTGGCCAACATGGTAAAACCCTGTCTCTACTAAAAATATAAAAATTAGCCAGGTATGGTGGCACGCACCTGTGGTCCCAGCTACTCAGGAGGCTGATGCAGAAGAATTGCTTGAACCCAGGAAGCAGGGATTTCAGTGAACTGAGATCGCACCACTGCACTCTAACCTGGGTGACAAACCGAGACACTGTCTCAAAAAAAAAAAGAAAATGTTCAGAAAAAAAATTCATTTATGATCACGTACATTTTTTCTTGTTATTAAGCATTTCCTAAAAAATAAAGTATAACAATTATTTACAGAGCATTTACACTGCATTAGGCATCATAAGTAATCCAGAGATATTTAAAGTATGATGGAATATGTACATAATTTATATGCAAATACAACATGTATCAGGGACTTGAGCATCTGTGGATTCTGGTATCCATGGGAGGTCCTGGAACCCAGCCCCCATGGATACGAGGGATGACAGTAAAACACCAACAGGATGGGTGCAGTGCCTGTTATCTCAGCACGTTGGGAGGCCGAGGCGGGAGGATCAACTTGAACTCAGGAATTCGAGGCTGCAGTGAGCCGTGATCATGCCACTGCCCTACAGCCTAGGCAACAAGAAATAGGCTGTTGACTGGGCATGGTCGCTCATGACTGTAATTCCAGTGCTTTGGGAGGCCGAGATGGGAGGAAGGCTTGAGCCCAGGAGTTTGAGACCAGCCTGAGTGACATGGTGAAACTCTGTCTCTACAAAAAATATTTTATTTTATTATTTGTTTATTTTGAGATGGAGTCTTCTCTGTTGCCCAGGCTAAAGTGCAGTAGCATGATCTTGGCTCACTGCAGCCTCTGCCTCCTGAGTTCCAGCGATTCTCCTGCCTCAGTCTCCCAGATAGCTGGGATTACAGGCACATGCCACCATGCCTGGCTAGTTTTTGTATTTTTAGCAGAGATGGGGTTTCACCATGTTGGCCAGGGCTGGTCAAGATCTCATGGCCTCAGGTGATCCACCTGCCTGCTAGGATTATAGGCGTGAGCCACTGTGCCTGGCCTTCTAAAAAATTTTTTTTCAAAAATTAGGTGGACGTAGTGGCATATACCTGTAGTCCCAGCTCCTTGGGATCCAGGTGGGAGGACTGCTTGAGACCAGGAGTCCAAGGCTGTAGTGAGCTGTGATTGCACCACTGCACTCCAGCCTGGGTGACAGAGTGAAACCTTGTCTCTTAAAAAATAAATAAATAAATAGACATAATTGATTAAAATAAAATTTTTTATATATTAGGCAGCTCATGTCAGAAAATAGAATGCTGAGAATCTTCTGGTCCAGTGGCTTCTCTACCCACCTATGTGTTGGTTTTCTATTTCTGCCTAGTAAATTATCACAAGCCCAGCAGTCTAAGCCACACCCATTTATTAGTTCACATTTTCTGCAGTCCTTGATTCCCTACTAAAATCAAGGTGTTGCCAGGTGCTTTGGGAAGCTGAGGCAGGCCCATCACCTGAGGTCAGGAGTCCGAGAACAGCCTGACCAACATGGAGAAACCTCGTCTCTACTAAAAATACAAAATTAGCCAATCCCACCTACTCAAGAGGCTGTGGTAGGACAATCACTTGAACTTGGGAGGCGGAGGTTGCGGTGAGCTCAGATAGCACCATTGCACTCCAGCCTGGGAAACAACAGCAAAACTCCATCTCAAAATAAATAATAAAATCAAGGTGTTGGCTGAGACTAACTATTGCTTGTTCCTCGTTCAATTATTGTACGACTAGAGATGTACACAGAGTATTTTGTTGTTCAAATAGGATTATATAAATATCTGAGTAGCTCTGTTAAGCTGCTGGTATAATTGGCTGAACGTGGAATGAGTTCACTGGCTTCTCTAGTTAGGTCTATTCTGGAGCCACAGCAGGTATAAAATTGTGAAAGTATTTATTTATTTATGAGACAGAGTCTGGCTCAGTCGCCCAGGCTGGAGTGCAGTGGTACGTGATCTTGGCTCACTGCAACCTTTGCCTTCCGAGCTCAAGCCATTTTCATGCCTCAGCCTCCCGAGCAGCTGGGACTACAGGCATGAGCCACCACATCCAGCTAATTTTTGTATTTTTCATAGAGACGAGGTTTTGCCATGTTGGCCAGACTGGTCTCGAAATCCTGACCTCAAGTGATCTGGCCACCTTGGCCTTCCAAAGTGCTGAGAGTAGAGGTGTAAATCCCACTCCCAGTCTGTGCAAGTTTTTTTTTTTTTTTTTTTTTTTTGAGATGGAGTGTCGCCCAGGCTGGAGTGCAGTGGCCCAATCTTGGCTCACTGCAACCTCCGCCTCCAAGGTTCAGGCGATTCTCCTGCCTTAGCCTCCCAAGTAGCTATGATTACAGTCGCCCGCCACCAGCCCAGCCAATTTTTGCATTTTTTGTACAGACAAGGTTTCACTACATTGGCCAGGCTGGTCTCAAACTCCTGACCTCAGGCGATCTGCCCACCTCGGTCTCCCAAAGTGCTGGGATTACAGGTAGGAGCCACCAAGCCTGACAGTGAAAGTCTTTAGAATTGAGCAGATGCCCTGACTGGCTCCTCCAACCAGACCATTTCAGCTTTCATTTGTCATTTACTAAGAAATTTTACATCTCCTAGGAGATAAAAGTTAAATTGTAGATATTTGAGAGTAATGTAGATAATGCCTGTGCATATAAATCAAAATTGTGTCTGGTGGAATGCATTCATTAATGTCTTGTGGACATACAGAAACAAACTGGTCATATGGAAAATGACCAGTTTTCCCAGATTTGTGTCCATTTCTTTCTTTTTAATTTTCTTATAGAGGGAGGGTCTCATTCTGTAACCAGGCTGGGTAGTGGTAAAAATATGGCTCACTACAGCCTCTAACTCCTGGACTTAAGTGATCTTTTCATCTCAGCCTCCCAAAGTGCTGGGACCAAAGGTGTTAGCCATTGTACCTGTCCATCGAGTCCATTTCTAAGTTCATTTGAGCATTCCTCTAAAAAAGATTCCATGACCAAACTTTAGTCACACTTGTCTTTTAGACTAGGCCTTATTGCTATCCTTGGCCTACTGAGCTCATTTTTAGCAAGACGCAAGCTAAAGCCAGTTTAGCAGAATCCTCCCCCAACCCTTAACATCCAGTTCAGTTCATTTTCACCCGTCCTTGATAAATAACCATATTTCTTTTGGTAGTTTTCTGTCCTCTCCCTCACCCTGCCTGTGGACAAAAACCCCCAGACATCCCTCCTGCATTCAGAATTCAACCACTCCCCTTTTGCTGTAGCCTTGAATAAAGTCTTCCTTGCCATGTCAAAGAAGTGTCTGGGTACAATTTCTCTTTGACACCTCATCAGACCTTAAGTGTGTGGAACTTGGAGTTAATCTCAGAACTGTTTGTAGTATCTTAACAGATTCAGTTTTTATGTTGTTTACACGAGTATACACTACAAAAATACATTTTTGTACCTCCAGTCAGCTTGTGCATATCTAGAACATGTCTGAAAAGATAACTAATAATCTCACAAAATGTAACATAGAGGGTTCTAAAATCTAGAAATAAAAACTTTTTTTGAGACAGTCTTGTTCTGTCGTCCAGGCTGCAGTGCAGTGGCACAATCTTGGCTCACTGCAACATCCGTCTCCCAGGTTCACGTGGTTCTCCTGCCTCAGACTCCCAAGTAGCTGGGATTACAGGCGCGTACCACCATGCCCAGCTAAGATTTTTTGCAGTTTTTAATTTTTTTTTTTTTAGGGGAGATGGGGTTTCTCTACGTTGGCCAGGCTAGTCTTGAACTCCTGGCCGCAAGTGAGGGGCCCGCCTCAGCCTCCCAAAGTGCTGGGATTACAGGCATCTTCCACCACACTTGGCCTAAAAATTTTTTTTGTAGAGATAGTGTCTTGTTATATTCCTCAGGCTGGTCTCAAATGCCTGGGCTCAAGCGACCTTCCTGTCTGGCCTCCCAAAGTGCTATTACAGATGTGAGCCATCATGCCTAGTCCTACCAGGCTTACTTCTGATTAAACCCGGTTCCCGGATGCTGCTAAGATTTCTATCTTATCTATGGTTCCTTGCATGTGAGCAGGTGCTGTCCACAAATCCTGCCCTTAAGAACTTGCCCTAACCTCCCACTGAGGCACGTGTACACTCTTCCTGTAGGGGGTGATCCCGGAAGTGCCGAGGCAGGAGCCAGAAGCCTCAGTCTATTTCCATATAAATAATGAAGAAGAAAGTAACTAGAAATATAACCATAGTAGTTATCATTCATATGTGATCTTAGTTATACATAGGTGATCCTAATTCTTTTGCTAATGCCTCTAAGGTCGGAAGTGTAAACCTGGGGTGACATTGTGAAAGAAATGACCCTTGGCTGGGTGCAGTGGCTCACGCCTGTAATCCAAGCACTTTGGAGGCCAAGGCGGGCAGATCACTTGAGGTCAGGAGTTCAAGATCAGCCTGACCAACATGGTGAAACCCCGTCTTTAAAAAAAATTAAAAAAAAAAAAAATGCCCTCAGGCAATCCCTCTGTCACGCCCATATAAGGGCTACTGGAGAGTCCCTTGGCTGTGCAGCAGCGACAGTGCTGGGAAAGTGCCTGCTGTTTAGCCAGCTAGGGAAGGAGACATCCAAAATGGCCGAGACATCTCCTTCTTCAGGGGAGTTAGGAGAAAACTCCACTCCTCCAAGCTCTTGCGGT